AGAAACTCTTAGAAAATCAGGTAAGCGCTACGATAAAATTATATTTTAAAAAGAGACTGAAAAGATGTCACTAACTCAACTGGCCTGATTCTCTGCCCGAGGATCTCAAAGTGCATATATTTGTTTATGTTACCAAAAAGTCAGAAATATAACTGGAGGAGAAGCCAAAAAAGGTGTTAAAATGAATCAGTACAATCCATCCTAAACATACTGGGAGCCACTGTAAGTGTCTCTTGATTCTGTCTGAAGCCATCTGAGTTGACAAGTGCTGTACATGTTATAAAACAACAACAGGAATGTGTGCAAAACAACCACAACAACAAAAATCTCATGACAGAAAACAGTTTAAAAACTACAAATAAATGACTATAAACACAAGACAACAAATGGTGAAACCTTGTAAGGTCAGATTCGAGGATAAAATAAATATAAAATACCAAAACAGCAAGACCAGAACAGTTAAACTCAGTTTGCTCTGAGGATTCAGCAGGCCTGAAGATGGAGTCGGGGGCAGAGAATTTCTGGGGACCCTTTATCAAAGGCGCCTCAATTGCCCAGACTGCACCGCTCCCTGTGCATCCGCCATATTGCCTTCGCCTAAACGCGCTGGCTGGATCAGCTCGTACCTACAACTGAAAATGTAAGTACAGAAACAATAATATTCTATGCAAGCTATGAATATTTCGCTTTTATTTGTGGCCTTACTCATCGTTGACGATTCGTATGCGAGTTTATAATTGTTAAAATGCCGTAAATTAGGCTGTAAAGGCCAACGTTTAGCTCAGGAGGTTGGTGCGTCGGCTCTTTATCTGTTGTTGTTTTTTCCTCTGTCACAACGGCAAATTACATTCACGACTCCCTCGTAATATTCCAGACAGCAGCTATTTTAAATCATTATCTGTCCTGTTTAAACGCAACCGAATGAGCCGTCCACCATGCCTGTGTATTCTTTGTCTTCGGCTGTGTCTTTGAGCTTATTTTCCTTTAAGGTGAAGAATGGCTAGCCTCTGGGGTAGCTAGTTAGCATTAGCCAAGCCCCTTGAAATCTGTGCGCGGGGTCTGTCTATGAACCGCAGCTGATAAGATAGTACCAAAAACAAGGACTGAATCAAATGTCAGTGTCTGCTCGTTGCCTTGAGGTTGTTAGAAATGCTGTGTAATAGCCAACAACAGTCGATATAACGTGTCTGATTTGAACCAACACATGGGGTTTTGATTATTGACAGGGATTGGTGTTGTGGTACAGGCTAGTAGCTAGAAATATATGTTGGTCAGAACATCTTAAGCTCCATTGTTATTGTTTATTGGCATGATTAAGTTTAAGGGGAACGATACGCCTTTAAAACGAACCAGTGTGTCCATCTGGACCACCCCCACTTTCACTTCATGTCAGTCACATGTATGGCAGCATGGCAACACAGCTGCAGTAATCTGAGGGCAGATATGGAAAAAAAAACACATTCAGATTTCTTATTTGTCTTTGTGTCTGTCATTTCTACCTGCTGTTGGGTAGCAGCTGATAGTCGTAGCCCATCAGCACCAGTATCATTGGTGGTCATTGTGGGTTTGACTGGAAAGATGTTTGTGTAAAGCGGGGGTGCCAAATCCTGGTCCTCGAGAGCCCCTATCCAGCATGTTTTAGATGTTTCCCTCTTCCAGCACACCTGATTCACATGATCAGGATCGTTATCAGGCTTCTGCCGAGCTTGATGATGAGCTGATCATTAGATTGGGCACCCCTGGTGTAAAGGATGCTTGGTACCAGTTAACAGCCAAGAAAAAGTGGTGTGTCATTAAATCAAGTAGTTTAAATCGTCTTAACCACGTGTAAAATATGGACATCTGAAATTAGATGTCCATAAAGCAGCTGGGTGTTAACCTCCCTCCCATCCATTCTTACTTTTGCTCTCATGTTACCACCATTTGATCAATTATAAATCACCACTTTCACATATAAACGTCTTTTCTAAGGCCTGTTGGCAGTGAAGCTCAAGTGGCCCACGAGGCTCAGTGTCAATGAAGGTGAATGCAGGTTTGACTGCAAGATATTTAGGTTGGATTGCCCTGACAAAAATACTAAAACAGTTGTTTGAATTTTCGGTTGGGTTATATCCAATTGAGATTTTGATTATTCAAGACAGATGGTGATATTAAGTGTCCCAATTATCTAGCTCTGTCATATGGCAAATTCACCTCTTGACCCCTATATGCTACTTTTTAAATTGGGATCATAAGATAGTAATAATAATCGTTAAAAAAAAAAAAAACAAAACACACATTTATTCCTGCTAAAAAGAATCCATTGAATCAGAATCAGCTTCATTGGCCAAATATGTGAATACAAACAAGGAAACGGATTTCAGTTGTGCAGTATGATGGGAAATACTGTTAAAGAAGAAGTAAAGAACCTTTTTACATTTAAATTTACATTCATACTCACTAGACAACAGGGCATGGATACGAGGCAGTAAATGGATGGAGAATTTTTGATGCTAATTAACAGCCAAGACAAAGGTGTGATTCATCAAATTAAGGTGTTTAAATCTTATTCAGACTCTCAACAAGCCGTATAAGTAGTATTCATCTGTAAAATATGCATTTTTAAAGTAAGAGGTCCTTTAAGCAGCTCGGTATCACCTTTCCCTCCCTCACATTTAATCTACATAGAAAAATTAAGCTATTTCCATTTTATATATATATCCCTATTTATATATATACTCAGACTGAGATTTTCCACGTATTCACATATTTTCCAACCAGGTCACAACCAAACTTGATGTAGACACAAACTGTAAATATAACCTACAAAGAAAAAACAACAATAACAACAACAAAAAACAGCACATATCTGCACGTGTTTAATCTGGGCCACCCCCACTTTCACTTTATGTCAGTCACATGTATGGCAGGATGCTCACACAGGGGCAGTAATCTAAGAGGAGATATGAACATCTGTCATTTAAATGTCTGATTTGTTTCTGTTTTTGTCTTTTCTAAGGCACTAGACAGTAGGTGGCAGTTGCCTATCAGGCCCAGTATCATTAAGGGTCACTCTGGGTTTGACTTTAAAATATTTTGGTTTGGTTGCACTGACACAGACTAGAACAATTCTTTGAGTGTTGAGTTGTGCTGAAATAAACTTATATTTGGGTTACTCAGACAATATTAACTGACCCATTTGTCTGGATCCTTTATGTGGCAAATTCACCCTTCTACCTCAAGATCATGTCATACTTTTGGCAACCAGATCATGACTCCAACATTCCAGGGTGTAGAGGTTATAACATTTGCTCCAGTGTCATACATTTAATAGACAGATGCCATTATTATTTTTTCGCCAGCCAGAAAAGTAGCCTAATAATTAAAATTTAGGACAGAGAGATTATCTTTTGGTGATGTAATTATGTTCCCCAGATTAGCAATTAATCACAAAGAATGTGTTGGAAATGCAAAAGTAGTAGTGTTAGAAAAGTAGCTCTACTCACAAAACAAGGCATGGATTGGTGACAGTGATTGTTTGGAGAATATTTAATGCAAATGAACAGCCAAGACAAATGGGTGTATTTTCAGATTCTGATGTTCAAATCTTCTTCAGACTCTTCATTACCAGAATGAGTAGTGTCCTTCAGTAAAATCTGCATTTCTACAATAAGAGCTCCATTAGGTAGCTGGGTGTGAACCTCTCCATCCTATCAAATGTTCCTTTTTCTTGTGTAATTTAGATTTGTACATTCTTACATATGTATGTATATATAATGGGATACAGTTTCTTACCAGTTGGGTTAAGTTGAAAAACAGGCTTTTAACTTAAAAAAACAAAGCTGAAAATGAAATCTGCACGAAAAGTGACACACCTTTGACACACATTTTCCAAATTCTGTCAGTCTGTCAAATTGCTTTATTGTGTTAATCCATTTCTTTTATTATTATTATTATTATTATTATTTTGCAGTAGATTTATCTTTAACTCAGTTTATTTTTTGGCTTAGCTCTGATTTAGTCCTAAAATACAACCTCCACACAACAACATATTCATCAGTCAAGTAACAAACAAAGTCATGCATACACAAACTGTAAACGTAACCCACAAAAAAAACAAAACTGTATCTACACTGGCAGTAATGCGTCATGCATATAAAGGAAGCCCGCCACAGGATAAAACATAAAAATTTCTAATTATTTTAACATGTATCAAGTGCTCTTCCAAATATAGTCAAACTGCAAGAAGTTATATATATGTTTTTGCATATTATGATGCAGATACAGACACTGTTTTGCAGTAACTAAAGCCTTTTGACCTACTATGACCAGCTATAGTGATGGAGTGTTGCTTAATTGAATTTCCCTTCTGGGATGAATAAAGTATTTTTCATTTCATTTCATTCAGGCTCTTTATTGTCTTTTTCATCTGGGGACATATGTGGTATGTTGCTATACAAGCTGCTTCAACGTAAATGAAATGCACAAGGCAAAGCAAATGAGATGACTGCTTTCTAAAGAAGTGACAAGTGAAGCAAGTATTTGAAAAGCTGACATTAGATTTTTTACAACTATGCAAACCGTTTGCACAGAGTTGCAGGGTATATGGCAACATCTGTCATGTCCACATGTCTAAATGTCCTTGAGTTAGACAATAAACCCAGATGCTCCCAGAGGACATGACTTGTGTGGCAGCTCTGTCTGTGAAAGTAGAAAAGTGCAGTCCATTTACTACTTATTGTACTAGTAATCATCACCACAGGTCATTGTGACATTCTGGACTCCCAAGAAAATCTAATTTTGCTTCTTTGTGTTTCAGTGTTGCAGTGATGACTCAGACAGTTCAGACCAATGGGGTTCAACCCCTTAGTAAGACCTGGGAACTGAGTCTGTATGAGCTACAGAGAACTCCACAGGTAACAATCCATCCCATATCAATACATTCAAATAATCGTCTCTAAATGAATTTGATTTAGTTTTTGTTGACAGATTTTTTGACACACAGTCTGACATTTGTTTCTCCTGTATTACCACTAAATGCTTTTTTAACCTTAACACACATGCTGACATGTGTTTCTCCTGTATTGCCTTTAAATGCTTTTTTACCATTAACTGTATTGTCTCACATGTAAATTTGTTTTTATTAGTGAGACATGAAAAAGAAGCTGGAGCAGTTAATGTGCAGCAGCAAACTTCAACACCCACAGTATATGGAACATAGTGGTATAATTATACCTGTAACACAGTTATGAGGTGCTGGAGCTCCTACATGCTCCTGGACATATAACATCCAAAATCACATCTCCTCCATAGCTGTGGTCATGACTGTTAATTCCAGAGATGTAGATGTATTTGTGTGTACTGACCTACATCTCGATCTGTTTCATACTGGCACAGGAGGCTATAACAGATGGACTGGAGATAGCAGTGTCACCCAGGTCCTTGCACAGTGAACTTATGTGTCCTATCTGTCTGGACATGTTGAAGAACACAATGACAACCAAAGAATGTCTGCACCGCTTCTGTGCTGATTGTATCATCACGGCTTTGAGATCTGGGTGAGTTTCAAATTGCTTACGACAGAAATTAAAATGCATTTGTGATAGAAGTTTGTATTGATGCTTTGGCACTGTTGTTTTACTTGAACTCCTGCTTGTCTTTGCAGTAATAAAGAGTGTCCTACCTGTCGTAAGAAGCTGGTGTCCAAGAGGTCGTTGCGTCCAGACCCCAATTTTGATGCTCTGATTAGTAAGTAATCAGAAGTAGAATCATCTAGGTTTGATTACTGCTAAATAAATCTGTTCAAACTGAAAATTTCAATCACAATTTAGTCATAGAACACCAAATACAAACTGAAGGGGTTGAGTTGTCTTTTATGTGCAGTTATTCAGGGTTTTCCCTGGTGTTACAGTGGCGTTTTGTGGGTCCTTCACCAAGACAGTTTAGACATTATTTGACATTAGATGTCATTTTTACATCTGTTTCGACACTTCTAGAGATCTATAAAAAACACAACTGTTGTTTCCTTATCCTTCCACAACCATTTGACACTGTTGCAGCATTTGGCTACTCACTAAAATGTTGAAATTGTCTGTAGAGATGTCACTTTGTCCGTGAACGTAGAAACCAACCCGATGATTGAGTTAGTGTAGGGACTCGATTCTTCTCTCATTGTCTTTCTGAATCATTTTTCTGACAGGGTTTTTCAGACTATTTTCGAGCTCATCGAGTGTCACAGCTTTAATTCTTCTTTGTAGTACAGATTCTCTCCTTGCATCATTTCTGTGGTAAACTGAGGAGACTAAACTTGAATCAATCTCAATACATTTTTTTCCCTCTGTGGCAGCAGAGCACGGTACATGAGCCTTCAGAAATTCAACTAGTGTAACCAAATATTTTTAGGGCTGACTGACTCTGAACACTTCATCATTAACGTAATGAAAACTTTCGAGTAGTATTCAGGCTTCCTTACTGTGACAACATTTAGTGCGTAACACGGGAGTTTAACACTTTGAATTTCTCCATTTAAAAAAATATCTGATGTACGGGACACTTTATTGTCTAGTGTCCAAATATAAAATAACCCTGACTTTTTTTTTACCCTTCATGTCCAGAAACTGTATCGTCTTGTTTTCAGGCCATTTGAATATCTTTTCTCTGCTACAGAGAGGGTGGTACAGAGCTCTCACAGCATAGTTATTTTCCATTCATTCGGCTTAGGCACTGCTGCACAAATACACTTTTGTGTAGGCGCTGTGCCTAAGTCTTATAATGGCCGTAAAAACCCTGCATTTATCCTGTTTCAGGTAAGATTTATCCCAGCCGTGACGAGTACGAAGCCCACCAGGAGAGAGTTTTGGCCCGCATTAGCAAACACAACAACCAGCAAGCCCTGTCCCACAGCATAGAAGAAGGACTGAAGATACAGGCCATGACCAGGTAAACGCACAAACCTCAACACACGTATAATGCAAATACATGGATAAAGCTCAGTCTCCTTGAATAAATTGGATTTGCATTTATTTTGTCAGACTGCAGCGTGGTAAGAGACACACGGTTGAGAATGGAAGTGGAGCTGAGGACAACGGAGACTCTTCTCACTGTAGCAACGCTTCTGTCCACAGCAACCAGGTATGATATAGTCTGAAACAAATTATCACACTTATCATGACAGACACGTATTGTTATTCTGGGACACATAACATTGTGACTTTTTTCTGATTTTCTATTGTTTTTTTTTAAGGATTTGTTGTTTATAATGTCTTCTTGTTATTGCACAGCATTGAGAACAGTCACTTTACATTTAACTGCACATACTGGAATAGTGTGTTACAAATAGAAACTCTTGAATTTTGAAGCGTAAAAGACAAGTCGCAAAATTTACAAACATAGCTGCAAATCAGCCAGACTGACGGTGTTTATGGTGATTACAGTCCGTACCACGCACAGTCAGGATCTTCCAGATTTGTGCTGCTTTCATACAAATACTAATTATACATTTTGATGTGGTTTCCCAGGAGGCAGGTCCAAGTATCAAGCGCACTAAGACGAGCGACGACAGCGGTTTGGACATGGACAATGCTGCAGAGAACGGGGGCGGGGACTCTGTGATTGATGGGGGTGCCAGCGAAATAGAACTGGTGTTCAGGCCTCATCCCACCCTGATGGAGAAGGACGACGGACACAACAGGTAGTTAGACACACAGACCCAGCTGGTTCTGCTCACTGTGTGGTAACAATCTCTTAAACGCAGAATTTCAACAGCAATTATAGTGATACATGATATTTTTTAACTGTTTTGCTGCCTAACTTTGCCTGCATAGGTACATTTTTTAAAAATTAACTGCAAACATCTGCTGAGACATACAGAGCTGCCTAGAATATACGGAATTGCAATTCACATCTGGCTGCTGTCAGCTGCTGTGATCGTCTGCTCATATATACATGTGTTTGACTGTATCAATGCAGTGTGGAGTTTGTTCCTCGCTACATTAAAACGTCCGGCAACGCTACAGTGGATCACCTGTCTAAATACCTGGCTGTCCGACTGGCTCTGGAGGAGCTGAGAAGAAACGCTGAAGCCAGTCCTGTTAATGTGGAAGCAGCTTCAGAGAAACAGTACACGATCTACATACCTACAGCTGGAAACCAGTTCACTGTGAGTACACGCACACCTTCTTTGACAACCCTGATTCAGGATGGTTAACCCTTGTTACAAGGAGCTTATATCTTATTCAAGCTGTAGGTTTTCTTATCGTCAACACTAATGCACCTTCTGGCTCTGCAGTATGTCTGCACTTGAAAAAAGTCTGTGTGGAAATGCTTTTGAAAGTTAGAAGCACAATACAATACACAATAAACAATAACTCAAATAACGGGCCAGAATCATTTATTAAAATATTTATTTCATGAAAGTTTAATCCTGACTTCAAACCTGGAGAATAATCTTTTTTGAGTTCATGTATTAGCCTTCATTTGCCTACTCCTAGAGAAAATTGAGCAACTCGCTTAAAAACAACCTGAAAAGATGTGATGCTGCGTTGTGCTTCATTCCCAGAGATGAATAGTTCTGTTTCATTCCATTCCTGAATTCTATCACCCAGAATTTATAGGACCATAGTCAGATAAGTGGGCTGTAACGTTACACAAAATTCCCAGCTCGGTATGTACCTCAGTTTGAAGTCTTTTTTTAAGTAGTGAAAGCAGCATAATGCATCTAAGGCACTCAGATGCTGTATATTTTCAATGAAAAAGATTCTGAGCCCTTAAATATAATCATTAAGGCAAATGTTGTATATTTAGAATGAATGTAAACTAACATTAAAGCCAGCAGTGCAATTTCACAGTAGTTCAAAGTCATGCTGCCTGTCTCTCTTTTTGTCAGTAGCTGTTCAGATGTATTTGGCAGCTGCTTTGGCCCCGACTGCTTTTAGATGCTGTTAAAAAGCAGCAGGGATAAATAGTTGGACTTCTTGCTATGGTGATGCTGCACATGTGGGTGAAGCTGTTGAATACGTGTAAGCTCCACTGCTGTTTCAATTCACTGGAAACTCCAAATTTTCCCACACAGCCGATTTTCTTTCTGTCTCCTGTGTGTTCTGTTCCCTCGCTGTAGCCCGACAGACTCCGACGCCTGTCAGCGTGAGATAACTTGGTAAAGGCTTACAGCTTTAGGTGTCAAGGTGGCACTTGTGCTTGTGAAATTTGGTTCCATGTTACATTTATTAGTCTTTATATCACATATTGTTTGCACAGCTACATGAACTGAACTGTTCTGTGCTGTTACACCAACAAATAAGCTCTTCTGTTTTTTTGGGTTGTGGTCGAAAATGATGTAGAGAGTTCAGATAATTCTAATAGTAGTAGCATGAGGTTACAGTGTTTGGGCCAACTGTCCTGTGAATCCTCTGCACTACTCATTATCACACTCTAGGTTGACATGCATTCTATCAATATGAGAGATAGGACATTTTTCAAGTTTAAATGCAGTTCTAAACAGGAAAAGTACACACTGTAAATGTTCTGTAATATGTGTGGAGGGAACTTTTGTCAATTTCTTCATCTGACAAGTAGTAGAAAGCAACAGAATCTATTTTCCATATACACTGACTGCTTTAAATCATTACATTTCAGTGTTAACAGTCTGCATATGCAAGTGTTAAAACTTTTGGGCACCAACAGGTGAAGATGTTTACTCTGGAAAGTGTGCCGTTGGTGAAACGAGAATATCCTTAAATAAGAAAACAGACACACTGCTGGGTTTAGCTAAATTTAGTTTTGTATACAATATGGAGAATAAAAGTACACCATTGTATTGGGGAGGAGACCTCACTCCTCTCTCCCCTAAAAGAGGAATGACGGTTTATTTATAACACAATAGCAAACATGAGCTCTTTTCCTATTGGCTCTTGTAAATAAGTTGTAGGTTTAAACCTTATGACACAGTTTCCCATTCATGTAAACCTCTAAGAACTACATTCTTCAGACAGAGAAGAGACTAAGGCATCTCCTTAAGTTGAACAAGCAATGTTTTCAGACTGGAAACACCCAAGATTTTTATTTTCAACTCTTGTTGTACAATAAACACATCTCTCGGTACAATAAGCAGCCGTCGACCTGTAATTCTGAACACATGAAATTTTTGTTTCTCTAAAAATGACTAAACGTGCAAGCAGCTGGTCAAGAACAGAGGATTAATGGATGATTAATATGTGAATAAATGATAACCTAAGAGCTTAGAATAGATCTTTCTTTGACAAAAATGATGCACATGTGAAAACATGTTCAACTCTCTTCCCAGGTTCTGAACGGTTCTTTCTCCCTGGAGCTGGTCAGCGAAAAGTACTGGAAGGTCAACAAACCCATGGAGCTCTACTTTGCTCCCACTAAAGAACACAAGTAGACGCACATGACAACACACCCATGCATACACTCACACACACATTCACACTCACAGGTAAGAAGCGAACACATGGACTTGGCTACACTTGCACACACCAGAAACCAGAGGAGGGGACGTGTGTATGTGTCTGAAGGAGATGAAGGGGCTTGGTGAAGCCCTCAAAAGGACTCTTGTAAAAAGAAAAAAAACTCTGTTTTATATTCTCTGTATCTTTCTCTGTGTCTCTTTCTATCTTTCTCTCTGTAGAAGGTAGCAGATCAGTACAGCAGCCAGCAGACTGGACTGCCAGCAGTGACTGTAGATTCTCTCCAAACACCAGGGTCCATCCTTAGTCTGAATTAGCTTGTTTCTGAGTTTTCTAAAAACATGTTATGCTGTATTTGTCTTCAGCATAGGCTCCTTTCTGTTGCGAGCTTTTTGGTTCATAAACGAGGTGAAATGTTTGGTCGTCAGTCCCTCACTGTGTGACACAACAGCTGATTTAGAGACCAAGGCCAGCTGTGTCCAGATTCTGTAAATACCCATGGACATAGAGGTCACTTGGGTTGGTGTGTCTAAACTATACAAGGTTAAGTAAGGCGACATGTATCGACAGAAAGTCCATCATTTAAATTTTATGGATGGAAGATGAAGCATTGAAGGATTTTGATGTTACCACAATCTGTCTGTGGCTTGAATTCCCCTCTTTGAAATGTTCACGCAATTTCAAGTTTTGCTATATTAAAAACTTGATTTGTAAATTTTCAAATGTGGTTTCTAGTTAATTATCTGAAGGTTTCTTTGTAGAACCACACGACTGCCAGAGTGAGAATTACAGGGATTCAGCCTGAAGTAAGTTTTTTTTCGTTGTGAACTTTGGTGTCTGAATTTCACCCAACATCATGTTTAGAATTCAGTTCAATCAGTAGTTCTGAAAATGACCACTTGAATCTGATTAACGCATTAGTTGTGGAACACTGGTGCTGGAATTTCAGAAACCTCAGGTTTAGGTTGGACATGTCCCAGAGGGGAATTCGAATCATGCATATGGAGATCGAATTCAGTGTTTAACATTAAGTAATCAGTGGCTTATAACAATTCGCCCCCCTTTTTTTTTTTGGCTTCCATAGATTTTTAAATCTAAATTGGCATCACACAGTCAGACACAGATTGCAACCGACATTTATTGGGCAGCTTTCCACTGAGCTTGAGGTGGCACCAACACTTAGGAAGCTTTTGACGTTTCTCTGTCCATTGGAACCTTTGCTGGCGGCGCTAAACACGAGTTGAGCAAAACCATGACAAACAGTAGTTACTGGATGTAAATCATATAAGTAATGGAACAATGAGGGCTTGTTTTGGCGATTTTTATTTTCTTTATGCCTTCAACTTTAACCAAGTGTAGTGTACATGGGGTCTCTAAACTAATATGTTGAATACTACAAGGTTTGTTCTCACTGGGGAGCTTTGACCAGCAGTGGGCAGTGCATGCATATCCAGTTACACCTATCTCGTGCTGTGAAGTTACAAAAAAAAAAAAATGTAAACAAGCTATTTTTCCACACGTCTCTGTAATCTGTAAAACCAGAGAGAGAGAGAGTTTACCGAGAGAGGCTGCGGTCCAGGGAACAAGCGAGCATCAGATGAAGGGTGAAGCGATGACTGCGAAGCTCTCAGTGTGAACACATAAACGACCCTGCTGCACCGTCAGCGGGACTCCTCTTGTTTGCAGAATACAATCTGGGAGGCGGAGGGTCCAGCAGAGCGAGTTGTCGTGTGGAAAAAAGAGTAAAAAAAAAAAAAAACCCTGACTTGTGATGGGAGAATCTCAAAGCTGTTGTTTTGATCTGTTGTCTGTAGGAACAAACTGTCTTCTAATATCTGTGGCTGCTCTCTTTGGCTCGTCCTTTTATATATGTCTTTTGTAACCTGGAGAGGAAGCAGCGTGTGTGACGGGAGGAGGGTTTGGGGAGGGAGGGGATGGGTTTTTTTTGTTTTTTTTTGCAGCACCATAGACAGTCTGACCATTACAGTGTTCACCATCTTCCTCTGCTATTTCCACAAACCTGCTCCCTTCGCTGTCAAATCCCCCCTAAATGAAGGGTGTTTGTCACAGATGGACTATTTTCTCAGACACACAGCGGGAGGGGGTTCGGATAAATGTTTTATTCTCTATGTAGCTAACTTAGGAGTCTGAATGTTAAAGAACAGAAACTCCAGAGAATTAGTGACAATTCAACCTTTCGAGTGAATGTGAAACCAAACATGTCTGTACCATTAATGTTCCTTTTACCTTTTACCGCCTTATTTTTCTTCTGCAGCTCATTTTGTCGTCGCACTCGAGGAACCGCAACCATTTTACAGCAACATGATCTTTCTAACTGGACTTTCTGTTTGTGGGAAATGATGATGCACCAGTTTGTGTGTTTGTGTTTGTTTTGTTTTTTTAAAAACGTGGCAGAGAAATGTAAAGTTTGTCAGTATGAGCAGAACTGCAAAGTGCATGCAAGTTAATGTCAAATGTGCAGGCACTGCGATGGCTGCTAATGGCCACTAGTGGGCATGGACACTAATCATGAGTGACTGAATGAATTGATGAGTGTGTGTTGTGCATCAGACTCTGAAATGAGACTTCATCAGGTTTGGGAGAAACAGTCAGCAAAGCCTGTCTGGACTCATGGACTTGTTCTCACTGCTGTTACACAACTGTACGGTTTTTTTGTTTTTTGTTTTTTTTTTAAGGTCGGAAAAGACGTTTTGTTGACGGCGAAACCTGGGAGCTTTTTTCCTTTTTGTCGTACGAAAACACATTTGATACTTTGCAGTGGGTTTATGATGTAGCGCGTTTATTTGATGTTGGAGTCGGAAACCTGTGCCGGCGATGAAAAGAACAAGCAAATTAATATTTGCTGCAGTAAAGACTGAATTTGTGGAAGCCCATTTGAAAATAAAAATGATTTAGTAAGTCAGACTTA